CTGGCCAGTGGCGTTAAATCACCTTTGTCATGGGGAGGCCTGGCACCAGCCCCTGCGTCTTGGGCGTGGCTTGGAGGGGCGGGGTCCTGCTCTGTTGTGCTGGACCAGCTGACTGTTGCAGTCTCATTTGCTTGCTGGTGGCCACATCAGGCCAGGGCTCTGATCCTTGCAGGCGGTTGACACCCAGCAATTAGGCCGTGGGGAGGTGAGGTGGGACCAGGAGAGGGCGGCACCAAAACTTGGCAGGGAAGCCAGAAACCAAGCTCCAGATGCCATGGGGCAGAGTCACGCGTCTCAGGAAGAACCTGGTGTTTAGATTGCTGGCTTGGTGGCAAAACCAGTTTCCTGAATTCCACACCACTGATTCATGGGAGATGGGAGCTGGCACTGCTGTGCGGGTGGCCCTTCCCCAAAGGCACTGCAGAGCAGCTTGTCCTCACTGGGGACCCTAAGGCTGTCAGGCTCGTGTGGACAAACCTGCACTGCCAGCATCTCTGAGCCCAGCTGCATTGTGCAACCCAGGGCGCCTGTGGAACCTGCCCTGCTGCCTTAGAGCACTAGGAAGAGCTGCATGGATGCTGCTGGTGAGGCCAAGCCAGCGGTGCATGTTCCGTAGGGCTTGGTCCACCGTTCATGGAAACATGCTGGTGCTGCAGGATGTTTGTTCTTCCTACTCAGCCTCATAGCACTGCTTGCAGTCCCTGGGTCCCAGGCTGGCTATCCTTGCCCTGCAGGTGGGGGCTGGCCAGTGGAGAGGGGAAGTCCCAGTCCTGTCCCTGAGCCAAGCTGCTGCCTTGCCCTTGCTGGCATGCTGCATGTCTTCTCCCCAGAGATTTGCCCAGGCCAGGCTGCTGTGCCCACCCCATGTGCCACTGGCAACTCTGCTCACAGGTGCTTGTGCCCAGAGCAGCCATCTGTGCTTCCTTGGGCTCACCTGGCAGCTCTGAGCAGGGGGTGGGCCCATGGCAGACCCCTGGGCCCGGGGATCCCTGCCCTGGCCCCTTTCCCAGGGCCTGGCATGCGACACAGGCTGGGGCGCAGCTGCAGCCCTGGGCCTGAGCAGCGGAGCAGATGTGCCTTGGCCATGGCACAGGTCAGGGACTCCAGGCCCTGGGGGAGGGGGGAAGAACCAAGGGCAGGAGACCATGAATGGTCCCTGCTTGGTACTGACCCACCAGGCTTTGGCTCCTCCTCCCAGCAGAGCCTGCCTGGGCCTTGGTGCCCTCCTCTCTGCAAGCACTACCCCCCCCCACCATCCTGTCACACAGCATTGTCCCTCCCCCTCTATGCAATGGTCCCTGCATCCCCCTCCCTCCAGCACTGCCCCCCCCAGCACCATCCTGTCCCCCCTCCTCCACACAGCATTGTCCCTCCCCCTCTATGCAATGGTCCCTGCATCCCCCTCCCTCCAGCACTGCCCCCCCCAGCACCATCCTGTCCCCCCTCCTCCACACAGCATTGTCCCTCCCCCTCTATGCAATGGTCCCTGCATCCCCCTCCCTCCAGCACTGCCCCCCCCAGCACCATCCTGTCCCCCCTCCTCCACACAGCATTGTCCCTCCCCCTCTATGCAATGGTCCCTGCATCCCCCTCCCTCCAGCACTGCCCCCCCCAGCACCATCCTGTCCCCCCTCCTCCACACAGCATTGTCCCTCCCCCTCTATGCAATGGTCCCTGCATCCCCCTCCCTCCAGCACTGCCCCCCCCAGCACCATCCTGTCCCCCCTCCTCCACACAGCATTGTCCCTCCCCCTCTATGCAATGGTCCCTGCATCCCCCTCCCTCCAGCACTGCCCCCCCCAGCACCATCCTGTCCCCCCTCCTCCACACAGCATTGTCCCTCCCCCTCTATGCAATGGTCCCTGCATCCCCCTCCCTCCAGCACTGCCCCCCCCAGCACCATCCTGTCCCCCCTCCTCCACACAGCATTGTCCCTCCCCCTCTATGCAATGGTCCCTGCATCCCCCTCCCTCCAGCACTGCCCCCCCCAGCACCATCCTGTCCCCCCTCCTCCACACAGCATTGTCCCTCCCCCTCTATGCAATGGTCCCTGCATCCCCCTCCCTCCAGCACTGCCCCCCCCAGCACCATCCTGTCCCCCCTCCTCCACACAGCATTGTCCCTCCCCCTCTATGCAATGGTCCCTGCATCCCCCTCCCTCCAGCACTGCCCCCCCCAGCACCATCCTGTCCCCCCTCCTCCACACAGCATTGTCCCTCCCCCTCTATGCAATGGTCCCTGCATCCCCCTCCCTCCAGCACTGCCCCCCCCAGCACCATCCTGTCCCCCCTCCTCCACACAGCATTGTCCCTCCCCCTCTATGCAATGGTCCCTGCATCCCCCTCCCTCCAGCACTGCCCCCCCCAGCACCATCCTGTCCCCCCTCCTCCACACAGCATTGTCCCTCCCCCTCTATGCAATGGTCCCTGCATCCCCCTCCCTCCAGCACTGCCCCCCCCAGCACCATCCTGTCCCCCCTCCTCCACACAGCATTGTCCCTCCCCCTCTATGCAATGGTCCCTGCATCCCCCTCCCTCCAGCACTGCCCCCCCCAGCACCATCCTGTCCCCCCTCCTCCACACAGCATTGTCCCTCCCCCTCTATGCAATGGTCCCTGCATCCCCCTCCCTCCAGCACTGCCCCCCCCAGCACCATCCTGTCCCCCCTCCTCCACACAGCATTGTCCCTCCCCCTCTATGCAATGGTCCCTGCATCCCCCTCCCTCCAGCACTGCCCCCCCCAGCACCATCCTGTCCCCCCTCCTCCACACAGCATTGTCCCTCCCCCTCTATGCAATGGTCCCTGCATCCCCCTCCCTCCAGCACTGCCCCCCCCAGCACCATCCTGTCCCCCCTCCTCCACACAGCATTGTCCCTCCCCCTCTATGCAATGGTCCCTGCATCCCCCTCCCTCCAGCACTGCCCCCCCCAGCACCATCCTGTCCCCCCTCCTCCACACAGCATTGTCCCTCCCCCTCTATGCAATGGTCCCTGCATCCCCCTCCCTCCAGCACTGCCCCCCCCAGCACCATCCTGTCCCCCCTCCTCCACACAGCATTGTCCCTCCCCCTCTATGCAATGGTCCCTGCATCCCCCTCCCTCCAGCACTGCCCCCCCCAGCACCATCCTGTCCCCCCTCCTCCACACAGCATTGTCCCTCCCCCTCTATGCAATGGTCCCTGCATCCCCCTCCCTCCAGCACTGCCCCCCCCAGCACCATCCTGTCCCCCCTCCTCCACACAGCATTGTCCCTCCCCCTCTATGCAATGGTCCCTGCATCCCCCTCCCTCCAGCACTGCCCCCCCCAGCACCATCCTGTCCCCCCTCCTCCACACAGCATTGTCCCTCCCCCTCTATGCAATGGTCCCTGCATCCCCCTCCCTCCAGCACTGCCCCCCCCAGCACCATCCTGTCCCCCCTCCTCCACACAGCATTGTCCCTCCCCCTCTATGCAATGGTCCCTGCATCCCCCTCCCTCCAGCACTGCCCCCCCCAGCACCATCCTGTCCCCCCTCCTCCACACAGCATTGTCCCTCCCCCTCTATGCAATGGTCCCTGCATCCCCCTCCCTCCAGCACTGCCCCCCCCAGCACCATCCTGTCCCCCCTCCTCCACACAGCATTGTCCCTCCCCCTCTATGCAATGGTCCCTGCATCCCCCTCCCTCCAGCACTGCCCCCCCCAGCACCATCCTGTCCCCCCTCCTCCACACAGCATTGTCCCTCCCCCTCTATGCAATGGTCCCTGCATCCCCCTCCCTCCAGCACTGCCCCCCCCAGCACCATCCTGTCCCCCCTCCTCCACACAGCATTGTCCCTCCCCCTCTATGCAATGGTCCCTGCATCCCCCTCCCTCCAGCACTGCCCCCCCCAGCACCATCCTGTCCCCCCTCCTCCACACAGCATTGTCCCTCCCCCTCTATGCAATGGTCCCTGCATCCCCCTCCCTCCAGCACTGCCCCCCCCAGCACCATCCTGTCCCCCCTCCTCCACACAGCATTGTCCCTCCCCCTCTATGCAATGGTCCCTGCATCCCCCTCCCTCCAGCACTGCCCCCCCCAGCACCATCCTGTCCCCCCTCCTCCACACAGCATTGTCCCTCCCCCTCTATGCAATGGTCCCTGCATCCCCCTCCCTCCAGCACTGCCCCCCCCAGCACCATCCTGTCCCCCCTCCTCCACACAGCATTGTCCCTCCCCCTCTATGCAATGGTCCCTGCATCC